GGTTATGGTTATAGTTATGGTTCTGGTTATAGTTATGGTCATGGTTAAGGGTCTGACCTGGTGTTTGGTGACCATAACTATAACCAGAACCATAACTATAACCATAACCCTGACTCTAAACATAACCCTGACCATAACTATAACCATAACCCTGACTCTAACCTTAACCATAACCCTGACTCTAACCATAACCATAACCCTGACCATAACCATAACCCTGACCATAACTATAACCATAACCCTGACCATAACCCTGACCCTAACCATAACCCTGACCGTAACCATAACCCTGACTCTAACCATAACCCTGACCCTAACCATAACCATAACCCTGACCCTGACCCTAACCCTAACTCCGTGTCTCCTCAGGGTCCTCTGGGAGTGTGGCGGGGCGGCCATGGGAGGAAGTCCGGCAGGAAGCCTCTGTCTTCAGATCTCAGTGTAGGTGAAGCAGGTAATGGGAGGTCCAGAGGGAGGCTGAGCCGTTTACTTTAACCCGCTTTCATTTTTAAAGAATAAGCTCTTCGTGTCACTCACAAGCTGAAACCCATCGCCCCACAAATCCAGCCGCCGTGTTGCCAGTTTAGCAGATTTGGTGAACCGGCGTCACCTTTTTATCGCGGGATTATTGCGCCGCTCCGCGGTTTAGAAAACGGCGTCTGTTTGTGGGCGTAAGCAGAATAAATTACCGAGCAGGCAGAATCCACACCTGGCAGAAATGTGCTGATTATCTGGGATATCGAGCTGTTCTGTGCTGCAGATTTCTGCATTATTCAGTTGCTCCTGTCAACAATCAGCTTTTTTTTTTGAGAAACTGAACTGTAACAAAGTCAGACTTTTTCCTTCCCAGATGACGTTTGAGGCTCTAAAGCTGAGGGCAGTTTAGGGTTTATCTGGGCCTCCTCTGGTTTCTGCTCCTCGGCTGTGTTTTCCTGGCTGCTCACTGTGTGTGTTTGTGTGTGTGTGTGTGTTTTTGTGTGTGTATTTGTGTGTCTGCAGTGAGCCGTGGGATCCTGGACTTCGCCCGTCCTCCTGGGGGGGGGCAGGTCCTCCAGGGAGGCCCCCGCTGGACTCCCCTCCAGACTCACCCCCTCTAAGCCCAGAACTAGCCCCAGACCCAGAGGGGGGACTAGGACTAAGACTGGGACTGGGACTAAGACTGGGGGCTCCTAGCTGCTGAGATCCGGGTCGATGTGCCTCTGCTCCCACATCCAACGTTTGAGGACTGAGTGTTGACTTTTATTTTGTTCTGGTTCATTTTATCTTTTGTTTGTTTGTTTGTTTTGTTGTTTTTTTGGGTCCTGGCTAACAGGTCTGAGTAGAAAGAAAACCGGGGCTCTCAGCTGGACCCACTTCTGGAAACCTGCCTTTCTGTTTTTGAGGGTGTAAAACTGTGGCTGCTGTTGGGGGGTCCAGCCAAACACACACCTGACACACCTGTTATGGTTCCACAGGTTTGTTTCTGTCCTCCTCTGACACACAAATGCCTTTAAGTTGAGCGTTCATATCACGGCAGGCGTTTAGTTTCTATTTCTTGTCGGACATCATCAGCGGGGTCACAGGCTCAACGAACCGTCTTCATCTTGTACAACACTGCGGCAGCACTTGTAAAATGGGAGCCTGTACAGTAACAAACACTGAATGAATAATGGAAATACTACCTGAATTATTTAAAGTCACCGTTAAACACAGTGAATGTTGCATTTGCACTGAAATGATGATCAAGATGGAGAATTGATGGGTATCAAGACAGGCCTGGATTTTCTTTTATTACCCCTCATACCTGTTTGTTGCACTCTGCCAGGCCACTTTGTTTTATATATTAAATTAAAATGTTTATATGCACAAGAAAAATGAGTCTGTCGCTTGTGTCTTCATTTGTTTGTTCAGACTTGTGTGTGGATTTTCCTCTTTTTGGTTTCCTTTTGTTCTGTTTAAACCTAATAAATGTTTGCACCACACGTGTTGACAACTTATTCCCAGAAAATAAAAAGATGAGCAGAAGAAATTAAGGGTTTGGTTAAGACATCTAATACGTTTATTGGAGTAATATGCCAGTTTAATTCGTATTAAACACGGGGGAAACACAAAGGGAAGCAAACTGGTTAGAAATATATCCACTAGGTCTGAATTTGTGTCTCGTGAGTGCTGTTTGCTTTGTTCAGCCTCTTAAAACTAACAGTTTGGAGTGGACCTCCGGGCAGTGAAGGGTGGGTGAACAGAGACACCTAGTGGGCAAATATTTAAACTACATTTCACTGTGGAGTGAAAGTGAAACTCGGACGTAGTTGTGTTTGTAGCAACGGCGTCTGGCGTGGCGGAAAAGCGCGCTGCCCGCGAGCCGTTGGCGACCGTTAGTGACCGTTGGTAGCCGTTGGCGACCGTTAGCAGCCGTAGCTAACCGTTAGCAGCCGTAACGGACCGTTAGCAGCCGTAACGGACCGTTAGCAGCCGTTGGCCGTCATGGAGAGCCACGGCTTGGACGGAAGCAGGACGGTGGTTGTGTCCGGGGTCCCGGACGTGTTACCCACCGGCAGAATAATCGACAAGCTGACCATCCACTTCCAGAGCGGCCGGAGGAGCCACGGAGGGGACGTGGAGCTGGTCACATACCCCACCAACATGGACGGGGTCGCTTTTGTCACCTTTTTCCAACCTAAAGGTAAATAAATACGCGTTCATGAGTCAGCAGACACTTGAGGTTTTCAAAAGGAAGCGAGGGCCTCGATGTTGGTTCCCCTAAAGAGACCACACACAAAGAAACAGCAGTAAAGTCCAAACATCCACCAGGAAACGATAAGGACCACAAAGGCTACCAGGCCAATAAAAAATACCACAAACTTTAAATATTTATAAAACAACCAGCAGGAAAACAAAAACACCCACTAACATGGATTAAATTAACACAAGGAAATGCAAAATAACAACAAAAAACCCGCAAGAATACTACATAAGATGGTTATGAAGAGAGAAAAGAAAGAGCCCAATCGTCCAAAGGATGAGCTGCAAAAAGACTAAATAAATAACAAAGACAGGCTAAATTTCCCACAATGACAGATTCAATTAAATTAAAACACGTCTACAAACACATAAAATGATAATGAGGGAAAAACAGCCAAAAAGATTCACACAGCTACTCATCCAACACTCAAATGACCACGGCAACAACTAATCTAAATGAAAAACAAACAGCTACCAATAACCGTATACAGGAAGATGTACAACCTTAAATGCTTATATAACAACCATCATCAGTAAAACGATGGCTAAAGCACTTAAGATAATCAACATAACCACAGTAGGGCTGAAAAGAGCCTCAGGACAAACCATTAATACGTTGCTCTTAATTCTGTAGAGATGGAAAAGAAGCATTTATTTAAATGGAGTGGATCCGTGCGTCCTGTCCTCTGTTGTGTGTTTTCCTGGGCCTTTGGGTCGGATCAGTCCTGATCTGCATCACCTCGGGGATCTTGGATGACAGACCAGTGCTAACTCTTTCAGATGCAGAGACGGTGTTGAGGAAGGAGGAGCAGATGATGATCGACCACGAGTTTGCTGAGGACTACCGTCTCACCGTGTTTCCCTTCAGCACGGATGTGAGTACGGACATGGGTTTGGTTTTAGGCCCCAATCCGAGACCAAACATCAACCAGCCGTTTCTGATTCTGTACAAAATTCTGAAACAAGGGCAGGTCCATATTTCCCTATGTAGCATCCCCCCTTAAATCTCACATCTATCTGGAAACATCTGGAACTGAGGAGACCTGCTCTGGGACTTTTTTAGAGAAATGTTGTCCCATTTCTGTCTAACTGCTCAGCAGTCCTGGTTCTTCACTAAACGGCATGACAAAGCTCCTGAGCCCAGAAGGCAGTGATTTCAGGAATAAGTCAGCTCTCTTTTCAATGCAGAGAGCTGCCTGAGGGCCTCAAGGTCACAGAAATGTCTCCAGATTCTCCAAATCTTTGGATGATTTTATGTTCTGTAGATGAAGAAAGATTCAAAGTTGATATTTTTTTTCTGGGATTGTTCCACCTCTACATTCTGAGAGTATCTGCCTCTCTTAGGTCCTCTTTATATACCCAATCATATTACTTAACTGTTCCAAACGAACCTTAGTAGTTTTGGAACATTCCTCCAGCTGTTCCTGTTTACTTTTACTGCCTTTTGCTGATCCCGCCCCAACATTTCTGAGACGTGTTGCTACCATCAAAAAAATCAGAATCAGAATCAGAAATACTTTAATAATCCCAGAGGGAAATAATTTAAATATCAATCAATAAAGAGGTGCAGTGTCTCAGTCGGTTTTTAATCCGGTTTTACCCGGTCTGATGAACTCTGTTGCAGGTGTTTCTTTATGTCTCCAGTGCTACGTTGGATCTTTCTCTATTTGAGAGCGACCAGGCCCGTCTGATCGAGCGTCTGCGGTCGACCCACAGATCGATACGCTTCCGGTCCGGACCCGATCAGAGGAAGGTTTCCATCGAGGGTCCTTTCTCTGCTGTCAGATCTCTGAGACGGGACCTCATCCAAAGAGCCAGTCGGCTTAAGCTCTCAGCCCAAGCTGCTGCCATCCAGCCCAGACCAGCCTCTCCTTTTCCAGACGCTAAGCAGGAAGCAGCAAGCTTCGACGGGCTTTCAGAGGAGGATCCCAGACTCTGTTTGGAAGCTGGTGATGGGGAGAAAGAAGAGGAAATGTCCACAAAGTACCGATCAGAGCGAAGACAGGTGGTCGGGGCCGAGGGCCGTTCAGCCTTTTCTGGTCTTAAAATGCCCCCGGAGGACCAACGAGAAAGAACAACTTCTCTAGAACAATCCAGTGGCTTTGGGGGGATTTCAGCCTCCAGACCCACAGAGGAGAATCGTCTGGGTTCACTTACCAGAGAGCCCCCTCAATCTGGGATAAAGGAAGAGTCTCCCTACTCTGAGAAACACTCAGAGGACATATGGGTGGACTCATACACGTTCAGATACATTGAAAAGTTCCACCGACAGGAGATGGAGAAATGCCTGGTCGGGGTAGACGTGGCCATAAAGAGCCCAGAGGGACGGGATCTGGTTGGGATTTCTCTTAGTGAGCAGATTCCCTCCAGGCCGGGTTCAGGGCTCCTCCAGGCCGCTTTGGAAAGCCTCAACGTCTTATTCCAGGTCATGCTGTCCAGTCTGAGAGTTCACGAGATGTTTTACAGCAAAGCCGAGCAGCAGCAGCTGGCCCGGGTTTGCAGAGAGCAGAGCGCCCTGTTCACAGACGTTTTGGTCCAGTTCGAGGAATCCTGCGTCAAATTCATCGGCCCGTCTGTGTCCAGCCACCT